CCCCAAAACCCCAAAACCCCAAAACCCCTATTAAAATTTATAATATTGCAAAATCTGAATCAGAAAAATGTTGAATAGTAACAATGTGGTTCGATATGAGTTTCTCAAGGTCGCAAGATCCATATCTTCACTGCTATATGTAAGAGGCTGTTTGTCCACATGACTCTGTATTTCTCATATCTGTAGTGTTAATATTCTAATAAATTCTTTAAACTTCACCTAGTGTTTTTCCAATGGCCAAAATTTTCTTAATTCTGAGTGAAAATTCCTGACAGCATAAATGTAGAAAACAGAGGAAATCCAAAACTTGGAGAATAGCATCAATGAGAAGGTAACAGAGATTCTGACAGAAAGTGACGAAAATATCAGGATGAAAGAAGTCCTAACTATTCTGCAGTTAATTCTTTGTCAGTCAGAGCATTTGCCAGCTATGATCATCCAGGAGTTATTTAACTCGTTGCTTCTGATCATCAATTCAGTAACACTCCTAGTCAAAACTTGTGAAGGTAAGAATGGTGACTAGCCCAACTATGACAGTAATAGGTAACCAAGCCGAACTGAAGGAGTCAGTTAAAACTATATGCCTTGCTATCCTTAACTGGGAGTTCAAGCAGGGGGAAGACCACTATGAAAGCATCAAAAAGCATCAAGAGGAGTACATACTACTTAAAAGTCAAGAAGTAAGACCCAGAAATGATGTTTCTCGTTTAGATAATTATCCAATGTCTGAGATCTGGGCTTCTCAAACATGACATAGGCCATATCATCTTTGAGTATTTCTTTACCCAAGCTACAAAGGAGGAGTTTAAACTTCAGTCAGACAAACACGAGAGTGTTTTCTCCTCAGGAGAAACAGTAATAGGAGAAATCATGAGAAACAATTTATACATAGTTGTCGATACTCTTTTGGCAGAAAAGGTAGGAAATCCTTGTTAGAATATTCACTTTGTCTCATTCATATAAAGTCTAATTTTATACAGGAGGAAAACTTCTCCATGATTCAAGATATCAATAAGAAAACAGAGAAGCTTATAAATAATGCTCAGGCTGTAACTCATTTTATTTAAGTTTTATAGGAAAGTAAATACTATCAAGACCAATTTGAGATTTACCTCAGAGTCTATCAGCTCATTCTTTATAAGATAGATTTTTATTCTCAATCTGAGGAAGAGGTAAGTTTCTTCATGACTCTGTAGACTCAGAAGAGAGGAGAAAAGATAGCCAATTACTTTCACAGAATATCAGAATCCCTATTTTGATTACTTAGCTTTTGATCAGAACTTGACAACCCTGGGAATGATATTTATTCTCTAATATATTTAATTTTTGATAATATTTGTGAGTTTGCTGATAAATATCCCACTCAAATCTGTTACAGAGAAGAAATAGAAGTCCTTATGTACAGAATACTCATTAGACCACTCGGCTTTAGAGATGAAGAGGACGCAAAGCTCCTCACGGAGGAAGAAAAGGCTCAAACGTCGAAGAATGAGTCAGAAGATCAGGAAAGATACATTAGTACAAAGATGTGATTGAGTAATGTTAATTTTTGATAATCTAGAAGGGATCACAGATTTTATCTCTACTAAACCGAACTTTTTGGCCAAGATGTTCATGTTGTATGATTGACAGCCGTATAGTTCAAAGCTAGCAGTCAAGTTGATTAGGTCTTTCTCTCAAGTTTACAGAAGCTATTTCACTCTTCAGACAGGAAGTAATGATATCCTGATTATCGAAGATTCTGTGAAAAGTCAAATAAAATACCTTGAAATAGTCTCTTCTTTCCTCAAGAGGTTAGATGCCAAACCTCTGACTAAAGACTCAGAGGAGAAACTCTCTGAAATCTTGTCTAATAAGGAAAAAGTGTACAAAGTTGAGAAATCCCTGCAAGAAAATGGAAGAAAAGGAGTCAAAGAAGCTATTGAAAATTATATCGGTCAAGACTCATCTGCTATTTCTCAGAAACTTGGAGAAGTTTTATTATACTCCAGAAGAATCCATGTCGGAAATGTCCTAGAGCTCATAGGTCATAAGAAAGAGACTGACCTCCTTGTAGAGTTCATGAATCAATTTGAACCACTCATAAAAGACCTGAATGCAGAGCAATCTCTTAGAAAATTTCTCACCAGTTTTAGACTTGCAGGAGTTGAAGGCCAAGTTGTTGAAAGAGTCTTGGAATATTTTGGCAAATTCTATTACAAATCCCATCTAAACTTTGGAACTGATGAAGGGATTGTCAAATTTGCCAATGAAAAAGAAGCATTCGATTTCATGTACCTCCTGCTGATGCTCCACACATGTCATCATAATCCTAATATTGAGAATAAAACTAGCTTTAAATGGTTTGTCGATAGTGTCAAAGATATGTGAAAAGAAAGTTTCTCAGAAATGCAAGAGAAAGACCTCAGAGAGATCTTTGAGAGTGTTGAACTGTTTGAGTTTGACTCACCAACTACAAGACTTTTATTTGATAAGAAGTTTAGTACTGAGAGCCTTCCTATCGAGCTGTATGCAAGGACAAAGATCTTCACAGAGGCAACAATAGATCTTAAGGAAAATGAATTCTTATCATGATTGTCGTTCGAGTCATCTCAAAGGTTATTCCATTTCAATAACAACTTTTGTGTCCCAGATTCTCTCCTTGATCTAGCTAAGGGACATATCTCGGAACTTATCTTCAGTGATGTGAAGAAGCTTCTGACTGAAAATCTGGAATCAGAAAACTTCATCCAGCTTTTTGATAAACTTTTTGAAATCTGCTCAACTTTTGGTCAAGATAAGATCCTTGAAGAAATATTGAGCAAGATGTATGATCAAGTAGGATGGAGCAAGAATTATGAAGAGCTTAGTCATTCAGAGCTAAACCTTATTTCGTGCCTTTTTACTTATCTTTGTAAGTGGGCATCTAGATTACCAACAATTGCTCCCAATGTCTCCTCGATACTGTCCTTCTGATATGAAAATGTAAGCCAGAAATTGTGAAAATATAGGATCTCACTAATGATGCTGTTGATGTCAAAGCTGAAATAGCAGAATTTATTGATAAAATAGAGGATATTACCTCAGCAGATGCACAATCAGGAATATTTTCCTCCTTCCTACCAAGTGTGTTTGGATCATCCACACCAAACAAGGTACTGTCTTGATAAACCTTTAGCACTTGTATGACGAACTTAGAGAAGAACTAAAACTTGTTGAACCTGAATCTGAAGTAGTCTCTAAATTCAAGATGGACTTAGATCTGAGTTTGATTGATGGAATTCAGCTTCAAAAGATCTCTAGTTCTCTGATGAACATCAGCAAGACAGAGTTCAACATATTCTATCCAGCTTTGATTTATAATCTAATAACTAGTAATACAGGAGAAGCTTGCTATATTTTATTAGAAAGCCTTCCAATTTACATTACAAATTGCTTGGCTTTCCCTGAGAAACCATATATTTCAGAATACGAAGAGTTAAAATTTAAGATCCAGAAGTACTACATATGAGAAAATGTGATAAAAATACTCCTTCACTTTCATAAAGATCATGAGAGCAGTAAAGATACTGCTTATTTTACCTCCAAAAGGACGATAAAGACGCTAATACAGAACATTTTCGAAGACATAGGATGTTATGAGGTAGATTTCCTATGCTCTCTCTCAGATGTGATTTCTCAGACTCTAAAATCAGAACATGCTTCTGAATGACCAGAGGAGGCTGCCAGGGTGCAAACCTTGAATGATGAAATATTCTGCTTATTAGTAAACCTCATGTACACACTTAATGAGAGATCTAGAGGCAATACCTCAGTTCAGAAGTTACAGGCGAGCAAAAGCCAGGAGGAACAGAAGGAAGATCAAAAGAAATCAAAAGGAAATGTAAAGGAGTTATTAGATCAGTATTTTAAAATTGAATCCAACCGCACTAGTGAGGATGAAGAGGAAAGTATCAGGAAGAAGATTACTAGGATCAACAATTCAGCAATGAAGTTAGTTTCTTAAAATTTCAATCGTTAGAAAAATTTAAGGGGTTTTGGGGTTTTGGGGTTTTGGGGTTTTGGGG